ATTGAGGAAGAAAACAAATAATTCTACATATTGTGCCTAAAAATTAATTTATTAGTGTTTTTTCTTTCTTTTTCGTCAAATTTAAAATAGTTTGGGAAAACTAAAAAAGAAAAAAGGAAAGAAGAAGAAAAGGAAAAATTCATTTAGTTTTTTAAGTAGCGAAAAAGGATGGAAAAAAAAAAAAAAAAAGAAGAAAGAACTGAGAATTGATGGTACGACAAAAATGATTAAATTTTTCAAGTGGCTATAAAAAAAGCCAAGAATGATTTGATGTTCAAGTGGCCTAATAAGAAGCCAAAAAAAAAAAAAAAAAAAAGAAAGAGCATAAAATGATTTTGGTATGATTAGCTAATATAATTGATTGATGATGAACAGTACCAGAAAAAAAAAAGAAATAAAAAGAAATGACAGATGTTCATGAAGTGGTCCTCTTTCTCATCATCTTTTTGTCTCTTTTGCGCCTACTTTTTTTTTTTTTTCATTTTCTTCAAAATTACAGTAATTTAATATTAATAATAGTGATAATGATAATGACGATAATAATAGTATTATTTAAACAACAACAAAAAAACGAAAACGAAATGAGAAAGAAAAAGGCTTAAATGCCATTTTTACTTTTGGAAATTACCCGTCAATAAAATTTACAATGAGAGTTAATTAATATTTTTTAAATTATTTTAGATTAAAATTCACAAATTTAATTTTTTGGAAATATATTTTATCAATGTTTTAAGATTATACAATATTAGTTTTTCTTTTTGCCGAACTTCTTAGCAAATAATTAATAGCTGATTTGATGATACAAAACAAACGTAATTATTGTTTAATAATTAATTGGTATAAAACATTGTTGATTTTCTCTCTTTTAAAAAAATTGTAGTCAACATTTTTTTTTTTTGAATCAATTAATTTTGAAAAAAATTTTTAAAAAATTGAAAAAAGAAACTAATAAATAAAAAATGAATTTAATTAAAAGGAAAGGAAAAAAAAAATCATACATGTTATATTATTTATCATTAACAAATTACAGCTTATTTAATAAAGTATCATATTAGTTACAAATGATAAGAATCAGTTACAAATGATAAGAACTAGTATTATAAATATATTTTAATTCTAAACACTGTGAAATTACAGATAAATCTATTTTTTGATCCATTTAAATAATTTTTTCCCAAGCTAATCCATAGATCTAAAATATTTCAAATCAATTAATACTTTGATTATAAATATTTCAACTAATCAGTATTACAAATGTTTTAATTAATCAATGGTTTAGTTTTAATTCAATTATAAAAATTGAGGACCAATAATAAAGAACAAAATAGAAATATTAATAATGCGATAATACTTTAAATCAGCAAAGTTTTTTTTTTTCTTTATTTTACTTTTAAGAAATTAATTACCGATGACAGTGACAATATGTCCTAATTATGTTTATAAATTTCTATGTATCGTTAATCTCTTTATTTTCTACTTTTTTTTTTTTTTTTTTACATTTCTAATTTTTCTTCATTCATTTCATTTAATTACTTATGCATACTTACTTATTTATTTACTCATATACTTACTCATTTACCTATTCTATTCAATTAATGCATTAAATAATTATTTGTTCTAAAAACAAATAAAAAAATTCGTTTCATTTTTAAAAAAATTAAAAAATTTTTTAATTAATACAAATATAAACAATGAAAACGAAAAAATAAGAATAAAACGAAATAAAGAAAAAAAAAAGTGAAGAAAAAATAGAAAATGAAAGGAGAAAATAAAAATTGTAAAATTTTATAAATTTAACAATTAATTAAAATTACTGGAAAAGAATGTGTGACACGATCGATGACATGAAAATTTGTACAATGAACATAAGCTGTTTTACGTATATCTATAATACATATATATATATATGATTGTCGAATGAGGTGAGGATGCACTTGAAGCTTGAAGTAAGAACCTGAATTGTCATCTCGAGACTTTCCATAAATGACACTTGTGGCAAAATACTTTTAACACATCCTTTTTGCCTTCTTCTATCTTCTTCAAAACTCACTTCTTTTCATCAGAAAGCAGAAAAAATTACGGATGAAAAAAAAAAAACGAAAACGAAAACGAGTTGAAATATCAGAATAAACCTGTAAAGCAATTTCTTCAACTCAACAAAAAAGAAGAAAAAAGAGACTTATAATAATATCGAAGTAAAAATAAATATGAATTCTCAATTTATCATTTAATTCAATTTGTTTATGAAATATTATCGAAGAAATTTAAAAGCTAATGAAAAAAGATTTTTTGTCGATTTTTTTTAACTTGAATATATCATTGAATGATTATTTTCAATTGATAGTGCTACCATTTGAAATGAATCATTTGTTAATTATTTGAAAATTATCACTAATAATTAAAATTACTAAAAATTGTAATGACAATAATAATAATTATTATTATTGTTATGAAAGTAATATTATAACAAAATAAAAAGTTTTCATTTGTATAAACATTAAATAAAATAAAACCAAAAAAAAAAAAGAAAAAATTCTCGTGAAATTTCTCGAATGCAACCGCTTTTTTTTGGGTTAGACATTTTGATACACTGATCAACATGCATCCATTAAAATTTCAATTTCATTTAATTTATTCTCTCACTGAATTAATTCACCTCTATTATTAATTCTGTTATTGATTACCATTGATTATTTATCATTTTATTTATCACAATCTCTTTTTTTTCACCTTCTTTTAATAGGCTGAAAAAAAGGAAATAAATTAGTTGTGGAAAATTAGTAGCATTAAATTACTAATTTAAGCAATTGTATACTTCAATTTATGTTTCAATTTAAAGAATTTTTGTTTCTTTTCTCTCATTTTATGTTAAGCACAACAGTTTTTTGTTTTTTTTTCAAAGAATTTCCAAGGAGTTAATAACAATAATATTGATATGATGAATTAAAATTTAATTTGTTTAAAATTTAATTTTCCCAAATTTAAGAAATCATAAAATATCGTATGTTGAACTTCTCAATTCAATATCATATTACTTTACAGATTCAGTTGTTAGAGACAAGTAAGTTAATCTTGTAAAAATTATTGACCTCATTGATTTGTACACATCAGCAGTTAAGCCAAAAATTAAACAATCATTCATTCATGATTATTGCGTTTTGTTTTGTTTTGTTTTCTCATTTTATTTTCTTTTTTGTTTTATTCTTGTTTGTTTGTTTCTTTTTTCTTTTTTTTTTTTTTTAAGTGGAAATAAATATGTAAAGATGAAACTTTTTTTTTTCAAAAACATATAAATAGAAGGATAAAATATTAGTTATATCAGTTATCAATGATAAATATAAATTTATGACGGTAATTTATTAATCAGATCAATAATTTAATCATTATTTAATGTTTAAGATTAAAAAATATTTATTTATTATGGATAAGGAAAAATATCAAATCATATTACTGAGTTAGGATAAAAGTAAGAATTAGTGGAGAGAGAGAAAAAAAAAAACTATCAGATTACTTAAATGTGATTGGAAAAGATGTGAAATGGTAAAAATGGTGACACTTCACGTTCCACTCAACAACTTCAGCTGATGATTGTTGTTGCTTGAGAAGTTTTTGTGTAAACAATATAAAAGCTTTCGTCCTCTCTCCCTCTCCCTCTCTCTCTCTCTCTCCATCATCATCGTCATGACAAGTATCATCATACTTACATGGATATCTTCTAACTAAAAGAAATGATTGAATAATAATAATAATAATAATAAAAAAGGGGAAGAAAAATTAAGGGACAACTAGGATTATAATAATTCTGGTTGCTAGAAATATTAATAAATAAAAGATTGTATTTTCATTATCTAATATTTTCATCTTTTTTTTTTTTTTTTGTTCTATTATATGTTTCGATGAATTGTGTTTTAATAAACAAATTTAATTAAAATATTATCATTTTTTATTTAAGGACAACACTAATGCTGAAAAATATATAGAAAATATTGTATAACAGTAAAGTAAATAACTTTTTTTTTTTTTTTTAAAGGAATAAAAAGGATAAATAACCATGAGAAAATAACATGAAAAAATCTGATAAATTTTGAAGAGAAATGATGAGCATAAAAACATTCCAGATTACAACAGATTACAAAATATAAAACAAGAGAAAAAAAAATCAATGGAATGTTTTATTATTGCAGATGTAACAAATGAAATTGATTTAAAAAAAAAAAAAAAAAAAGAAAGAAAAATAATGGAAAAAGAAATACCTCGTTATTTTGTTAAATTAAGGCAATCCAATGTAGTAAAATATAATTAACTTGTTACATATATAAAAGAAAAATTTACCAGTTTACTTTTTCTTATTTACCAATTATCAGTCCAATTTTTTTTTTGTTGTTGTTGTTGAAAATTTGAACCAATTAAAAGAAGAAAACATATATAAATTTATGATTATAGAATTTTTAAGAAATATATGAGCATAGAATGAAAAAAATGTCCAGATTACATCATATGGAATAGTTATACGTTTAATATAAATTTTGCTTTAAAAAAAAAAAAAAAAAACAATAATATATACCAGAGAATTGGATAATTTTTGAAAGATTGCTAATACTCGAATAATTCGAATAAACGGATCGTTTAACAGTAACTTAGCTGTTTCTAAAAAAGCTATTAACTAACTAATAACTTCTTTATCTTATCAATATTCTTCCATTTCACATCTTAGACACATAAAACAGAAATAAGGCTTTAGTCATGAGATATATACAAAATTACAACTTCATATTTTTAGCCAATGTCTAAAATAATTACTACTTTTTTGATAATAATTTTCTGAATATCAATATTACAATTAAAAATCAATATTAAAAAGTATACTAGAACTGATAATTGGTAAAAATATGGAAACAGCCAAAGTAATTTTAAACTGAATTGAATCTCTCATATTTTCTGTACCATCTCCATTTCGATTTCAATTTCGCAGTCATTTCATTATGCTCCAAGTGTAAAGCTTAAATCAAAATAGCATCTGCCACTTCATCATTCAAAATTGATAATTTTCTCTGAAAAAAAAAAAAAAATGAGGGAAAAATTGAATCATTTGATAAGAAGTGATAAAGGAGAAAAGATAATTTTCTGAACATATAGCAGATATTTATCTGAAATTTGCTATTATGATTAGATTTGAATCATTTCGTCTACGTCTAGTAAAATTTATTTCTAATTCAACAGATAGGAAGTAAAAAGAAAACAGAGGATACAATTTATTATGAATTTAAACAATCAAATACATAGCGCAATTTTTATAAAATAAACAGTGCAAAGTACATTAATATCTGTAAACATTACTTTTTGTGCTCTCAATGATAAGATTGTTTCCCGTGGATAAATTTTTCGCTTATTTGGTGGTTTGTAATCACAAGCACCTTCGTAAGTGAGAATTTGTGCAATTTCAGTTACAGGTAATCCTAAATCAATCATTAATTTTTTACTAAAGCATAATAAACATTCATAAATAAACACGAATTTTATTTTATTCACCAAAAAAAAAAAACATTACCATTTAATTTAAATGCTCTAACAAGAGCAATACCACCTTCGAAGCTTACAACTAATACAGCGAGACGATTAATATTTTCCAGAATGCGACGAGCAACATTTGCAAATCTTGCTGTTGGCTTAGTAACACCGTACAGTACGCATGGAACAGCCTAAAAATATTTAGATACATCAAATGTTTAGAAAATAATCAATTATTTATTCCAATTAATTATATATTTGTTTAAAATACGATTTCACATGATGTACCGATAAAAATGAATTTATTTCATATATCGCAATTTTATGCCATATGTCATATCAAACTGATATTTTATTTTTGTAAGATAAAATCATTATTAGTTTATATCCATTATAATTATCAATGTTAAAGAAGACAGAAAAAAAAGAGAAAAAAAACCACACTAAATTCAAATAATTGTTTTTCGTTTAGGTACAAAATAAAAACCCACTTTTTATAATCATTTGAATGTTACGATTTATCTATATCAAACCAATACTTTAAACTAATTTTCATTAATATAAATGAACAAGTAATTCATTTAAAAGCTTTTTTTTCTTTTCAAACTCACTCGAGCTGGTATAGATGCCAGATATTCACTGATAATTTTCAATTCACTCATTTGCACCACCAATGTTTGTCCTATATCCAATGCATAGATACGAATTTTTTCATCATCCAATTTTTCCAGTACGCGACAACGAAGTGGTACCTGATTTGGCTCTCTTGGTGCTGCAACTAGCAATTCATTCTCCTGCAAAATAAAATTAGCACTTAATAAATATAATTTTAAAAAGTTTTCAAAATTTACTTCATATTCAGCTTCATCTAACAAATTTCGAAATGTTAACAATATGAAAATTTTATATACATATGTAATAAGCTCTAATTAAGTAAAAAACGTTAAAAAGGTAAAAGAAAAAATAAATAAGTAATGATTAAGAATAAAAGTAAAGAATAGTAAAATTAATTCGTTAATTATGTTAAACTAGTTAAGTCTTTTTCTTTTCAAGCAACGTCTCTCTATGCTAAACAAGAATATGCAAACTAAATAAGAATCAGATAAACAATATGATGAAGTAGTAGGTATAAAATGGATTAAAGTAATTTTTAAATTTCTTACCACTACATGTGTCACCTGAGGTGCACGTTTAAAATGAGCTGCAATATGACCATCCAAATCTTCATTATTAATTAATAAATTTTCTGCTTCACATTCATGAGTTTCAGTGAACACATAAAACATCATTGGCCACTGCAGAAATTGATTTTCCGTTATTGGTTGAACAAGTTCGACCTAGAAAATTTTTAGAAATTTCATTAACTTTTGCTTCCAAATTCCGCCATATTTCCGATTTAAATTATAAATTTGTGTAAATGAGATTTTCCACTAAAAAAATTCATCAATATAAATTATTACTAAATTTAAACTAATTTTCTCAACAATATGAGAGGTGAAAAGGGGAAAAAAAAAAAAAAAAAAAAAAACCTGTACTGGCTTTCCCAACGGTAGATAGTCATGACGATGAAGGCGGTCATGGTAGATAATCGGTTTACGAATATTTCCTTCTGTCAGAGCTAATTCCGGTCTATCAATAATAGAGAAGTAACTGAAACAGAAAGTTCCGGTGAGCACTGATAATTTTCCGAAAATTCTGAAAAATGTTCCACTGACCAAATGTTAAACCTAAATTAGGATTTAAAAATTTCAAATAACTATTTAACCGTGTCAACATCAGCACTATTATTTTGTAATATTCTGTAAAATGGCAGCTACAAATTAACCTTTTCATTCTTTCCGTTTCTCTTTCAACAGTCGTTGATAAATCCGTTTTCCAGTTTGTATTTCCTTTCTGTCTTACAAATTGAATCTAAACAATAAGTGATAAAAGAATAATCCGAAAATTATTAATTAAATTCTCATTCCTTTTTCCACCTTCCTTTTTTCCCTTCCTTCTAATTTAAGCATGCCTTGAGCGGTTTCGATAGTTCCGGTAGCAGTATTTTGCCATCATCATGAGCTGTTGCGGTAATAACGGAATTTGCATCAGCAATTGACATCATATGAATAAATCTTAAATTAATTAGATAATTAATTAAAACAGCAACATTCTTCAACCAAACAATAGCTGTACCATTCCATAGTTAATGAAATGCTTATGCATAAACTAAGCTAACTATTATTTTTTTTAAAAAATTTAATCTTTAAAATTGAATTAGAATAACATACGCGCATGTTAATGAATCTTCATGTTTTCTTACAATTTTGATGTTATCAATTCGTCCGAATTGTCGAAATATATGAAGCAGCTTCCACTGTAAAAAAAAATAGCAATAAAAAATCAAAACAAAAACAGTATATTAAAAAAAAAAAGGAAAAGTCTCGGAAGAAATACAACATACTTTATCCCACGTTTCTGGTACATTTTGAACATAAAGCGTTCGATCTTCCGATTTACCCATGTAGGGTAAATGTAAATCTGATTGTTTCAATTTTCCATAATCACTTGTAGCTGCTATACGTCGTTCACCGTGAAATTGCATAACGTGCACTTAAAAAATTTTAAATATATACAAAAAATAAATAAATAAAATAAACAAAAAAAAAAGAATGATGGAAATATATGAATGTTCATATCATATATGCAATAAATTATTTAAATAAGAAAAATATCATAGCTGTTGAATTACTATTCATATTTGTAACAATAATTTGTACAAATTTCAACAATATTTAAGAAAGTTATTAACAAAAGATAGTAAAATATTATCGCCCTTTTTCCATTATACGATTATGAAAACATAAATTAACATTTCAGTTACCAAACAATTTATATGATAAAAATTCATATACCACAAAAGAAATTTTCATTTTTAGTATCAATTAGCTTGTTGCTTAGAATTAGAATTATCATATCAAATATGGAAGTAACAAACTACTTTTTTCTTTTTATCACTATTAAATACAATTAATTTCATTAATCAGAATATACTAATATAATAATTAGTAAGAAATAAATGATTATTTAATTACGTTGTGATTTCTTGCATATTTTACACAATTAATAATTAATTTATATACAATGATACATCTACTTCCCTTAGCAATACTTCTACCATATAATAAAAAATTGCTCGAATAAAATTGAAAAAAAAACGAATTAAAATAAGAAATTTAAAGAGAAAAACTTAAATCAAATTCTAATATTATTAGCGTTAGCTAAACTTGTAAACATTTTTGGCCGATAAATTAATCTATTTGACAGATCTCACAGTGCTATCAAAAACAATTTCGTTTAGTTTTTTTTTCTGATACTTTCAGGAAAAAAAAAAAAAAAAGAATTCTCGTTTCTGTTCATTAAGCCAACTGCTAACAGTGATTTTGACCGTTTTAGTCATAACACATAGAAACCGACAAAAAAAAAAACGAAACTGAAATTGATAGGATGACATGAGAAGATAAAAAGTAAAGAACCAACCAACAACTATCATATATTACAATCAACAAAATAAATGAAAGGCGAAAAAAAAAAAATGTATGCGACGAATTAAATCCAATTGAAAATTTTCAATGAGATCAAAAATCATTTAATTCCAAAATTAATTTTGAATTATTCAAATCCTCTCTAAAACCCTTCGCGATATAAACAAAACTGTCTATACATATACATATTTTTTTTTAAAGAATTAACCACTTAACATTGTGAATTAAAAAAAAAAATCTCACTACATTAATATGCAGAAATTTTATTTCATATATTGAGCTATATGAATTTGCTAAAAATTTTTAAATGCTTGTAGAAATAAAATAACTTTTTTTTTTCAAAAATTAGCCTATTCAATTTTTTGTTTTTAAAAATGTTAAAGAAAATTTTTTCAAGTATTTTTTTTTGCCAACAAAACCTAAAATTTTTTTGTTTTAGAAAAGTTAAAAAAAAAATCTCGAATCCTTGAAATTATGTATAGAATTTGATTTAAAATGGAAAAAACAACAAAAGAGTTAATCGCTTATTTTACTTTCAAAACAAAAAAAAAAAAGATCCTATATATAAAAAAAAACGGAAAATCAAAAAAAAAAAAAAAAAGCCATACTAGATTCATTTAGTCCACTGATATGTTTGCTTTTATCTTATTATCCATACTTACATATTTACCACGGAAAAGAAAATACGAAATGAATTCCAGGAATCAATCAAGAATATAATTTTATGGAACAAATTTAATATTTGAAAAACATTGAATTTTATTACATAATATTATAATTCTGATGAAGAAAATTTAAAAACTACACATTAGGATAAACTTCACAATAAAATCTGCAAACAATAACCTATACTAAGCTCATAGATTATGCTTTCTCTTTTGTCTCATTAACACAGCAACCTAAGTCAATAGCCAAACTTCTACTTAAACAACGTTTTGTCTGCAGTCGAGCATAACCATCTTTACACTTTTTATATTGAAATCGTGTAAATCCACGTGGTATCGAGCATTTATGCTTTCGCATTAAATGTCGGCTTAAACCAAAACCATTTGCATATTTCGCATCACATAGGTGGCACAAATGAGTATACGGTATATAAACCTGAAATTTCATACTTTTTATACATACTTAACTGACCTAAAATGATCCAGAATAGAGAAGTAAATGAACGTAGTGTTATTAATAAATCATCCAAAACAAGCCCCACGTACAAAAAAAAAAAAAAAAAAAAAATCCAATCTTGAATTAACTTTCATCTTAAACAAAATAATGATAAAATGAAAAAAAAAAAAAAATTCCCTTAACAAACAATTTGTTCCTTCTTATTCTAACAACAATGAAATGTTACTCTACCCTTTACAGACGTTATTTATGTGAAATTTTTGTGAAAAGTGTTCAGATGTAAACTTAAGTTTGGCATTATCGATTAAATGTAATCTCAATAAAAACTAGGAAGAAAGCTGTTTTCAAATATGCAAAAGAGATTAGATACAATTATTTCTTCTTTATTAATATAAATTTCTTCGACAAAATTAAATGAGTGAACCACTTTAATTTAAATAAATATAAAACTATATGAAGACCTTGTCATGCTTTCGGATATGTGCTGTTAATTGTTTTTTCCAACGAAATTGCTCCCCACAATGTCCACATTTATGCGTAAGTTCATTAGAGTGAACTACCATATGCCGGTCAACATCTGCTTTTTGCGAAAAACTGAAAACCATTTAACTAACTAAATGTAATATCAAAATTTAAAATTATATCAAAATTTAACATTAATGTCCATTAATATCCACATGATACAATTTTAAAATAGCATAAAACTTCAAATTCCACCTTTTCAAAATCTATCCAATAAAGCATGGCAGCTCACAAATCACATTTGTAAAATTTCAAATTTTAAATAATTTTAATGCTTACTCAAGATGAAACTCGCTAAAATTAGAATGGCCTACAACACAGTAAGTTTTACATATTTGTGTGTGGTGTTAATGATTTTCTGAAGAATAATACAGTCCAATACTAACTGCTACAAAATTTGACACAGCTCTTGATATATATGTCGAATCCGAAATTTTTTTAAACATTTATTTAGAAATTATCTAATCTAAGTTAATTGGTAGCTAATTTCTACTTAAAGTCATTCATAATTTCTCGAATTGCTTGCATGGAAATTCACAATTTTTTTACCTGTGGCCACAATAGCAACAAGTATAAAGCCGACATTTGGCATGAACAGCAGCGACATGCCTTTTCAGTGCTGATGGACTGTCAACGGTCACTGTACAATATTTACACTTATGATTCATAACGTGACGGCGACAATGTTCACGTAACAAACGTTGAGTACCAAATTGTTTTTGACATAAATGACAGGAATAAATGGTTCGAAGCTCTCCGTTTTCTAGCATTTCTGGTCCTACAATTAGAAACAAAAATAGAAAAAAGAGATGTGCATAAAAGTCTTTTTAAAAATTTATGGAATGCTTCAGCAAATTATACATCTTTTGAATAATTTATTTATTAAAAACCTCCTCCAATACCGTAAAAATAGTGCAAAAAGTAGGAACTTCCTTTCCTATTGAAAACTCCTCGTTGAATTGTGTCAATCTTTTTCTTATACTAAGTTTTGCAAAAACCAATTATTGGGTCTATCTTTGAACTAGGTATGAAGATACGAAGGCTGTATTCAGTGTTTCTATAACTTTATCTTATGCTACATAAATGATTAGCATAAAATCATGCGACATCAATATAACAACATTATCACTCAATGGTAATTTACCAATCTGATTTTTACGAAGCATATGATCAATCAATTTTGAGTTATTAGCAAAGAAAACGCCACAGTATGGACAAGCTGCCGTCTTGTCACCCGAATGGTGCCGACAGTGTACCCGAAGATTGGCTTTGTTCTTGAAATGCATTTTACAACCTTAAAAAAAAAACTAAACAATAAAATTGTCCAAATTTGATAGTACTCTGTTTTCAACATTTTAGGTCCATGTGTAACATAAGTAAATCAAAAATATTCAAATGAAGAAAATAGCTATGCGTGAACAAAATAACGGTTATATATTTCGGCAATAATAATGTGCAGTTCAATTTAAAATAAAAAAATTTGTTACCTTGCCAACCGCAATTTAATTGGCATCGTTGATCACGATCCATAACATCAAGAGAATCGACATGATCATCAACATGATTGCAATATAAATCGATATCATCCCAAAGAGTCTTAAAAATTCAAAAAAAAAAAAAGTTATAATAGATTTTAAAATAATCAATAAAGGAAAAGTTGATGAATTATACTAACGCTACAGTTAACCCATCCACATGCCATCGCTGAACCATCATATATTAGCTCCATAGATGTACGAAAACCACAACTGAAATAATTATTGCAAAACTATGCCAAATTTAATTAACTTGTACAATTTATGAAAAAAAAAAAAACATAAATTATCTTTGAATGTAACTTATTCTGTGATTAATAGATATCTTATGGAGATAAGAAATAAAGTCTATCAAAACGTACTGATATGAAACCTATCATCTCATTAGTCGAACAGTTTATAAGCAAATTACAAACAAATGTTTTAAGAAATGGTAAAAAAATGAACGGAAAGTATTTTATTACTAATACAATATTAACTTATAAATTTTAAAAAGTAAAATATTGTAACTTTATAATGACAAATATTTTATTAGTTTTTCCAATAATTTTTTTCTCGATTTTTAACATATCATACTCATATTAATGCAACTGAAATAAAACAAAAGTTAGAGTAAGTTCTTTTCTTTTTTTCAATTTCCATCTTTCACTTGATCGTGTTATCATCTCAGCTTAACCTATAATATCTAATTAGTTATGTAAATCATTAATATCTTACAATGCATATATATAGCAAAACTTTTTTAGTTAAGTACAAACATACTGTGGGATGTTTGCCACATCATCTCGACTGAAAATAACATTTAAACCAGTCCATTGTCGTCGAATATGATAATTGTGCATGTAAAGATGACGATATAAATGATGTTCTGTAGCAAGTATCTTACTGCATCCACTTATCGGACATACAATAATACTACCATCATTCTGATTTTGAACTACAAAAAACAGAGAAACATAATAAGATACCAAATTATGCCAAAACTTAAAATACTATTTCAAAAAAACAAAACAAAAAAAGAAAAAGTAAAATCACAAATGAAAAGTAATTCAAACCTGTTAACTGTTCTATATGAGATCGTATATGTTGTAGTAAATCATTTAAAGTATCGTATACCATAAAACAGCTTGACCATAAACATTTGAAATAAAACTGAAACAAATAAGAATTGATCAATTAACAAAGGTAATCTTAGATCAATTAAACTATATTTCATTCTCTGAAATGAAAAGGAGAAAGAAAAAACTATTGACATACTAAACATATTGAGTGCGAATTCATAATTTGTATAAAACAAAAGAGATACATATCTTAACTTTGATATAATAAAAATATCTGCGTATTAATTATTCTTCCCTCTATTTTTATCACTTGATAATGAAATCAGATAACCTAAGATGAACTGCATTTTATTCCATAATTGTAGCTTTAGTTTCAGCTTCCATCTTTCTTAGTTTATTACTCGAGTATTTCCAGTCAACTTTTTAAAGTTTTGTCATACGTTTTATTTGTGAATGACAATTTCATGTGATAAAGTAAAATTATAGTTCGAATGTTTAGTAACTTAAAATATGTCTTGAAATTTAAACTTTACTCTTCTCTAACATAAATAAATGAAATGAATACTTCTTTATCTTGAAGTCGAGTAATCCATGCCATTGGTTCACCGGAACCTGTTGCTACAGGTACATCCACTGGTTGAAGAATAATCGGTTCAAATTGTTCCATTATACAACTATATTTTGTTAAACAGTAATATACACTGCAAGAAAGAAGAAAACAAAAAATTACAAAAAACTTCACATTAGCAGCGCTAATTTATAAATTAGTACTTAAATTTAACCTTTAATTTGATACTAGCATTTTCATGCTACGTAAAAACTGATAGTTGCATATCAAATTTTTTTTTAACTGCTGTAAGTAATTATTCATCATTTTCATGTCTTAGTCTAACTTTTGTATGTATTCATGCTAAGCTTTCTTTTAATATGTATGGTTGATTTTTTCAAATTAACAAGTACTAATTAACATCAGTTTTGCAATAAGAATTCCTATATAAAACATTTCATAAATCATTTCTTATCTTATCATTTCATATTTTTTCTAGCTATTTCTATGAATATGGGTATATCTTTGATGCAGGTATATTTCTAAGTATCGGTATATTTAAGTATTATTATTGCGGCATATATTCTTAACATTATAATCGAAATATGAAAAAAAATCTTTTCATATTTCATTGCAAGCTATACGGTAGCACAACTTTTTAATAAAAATAAAAAATTGAAAATCTATTTTAAAAAAGTAATACCGAATAAATTTCATATTAACACTAACAATTTAACAAATTGTATCAGTTAGTATTAGCAAAAATTAAAATAATTTTTCCGAACTAATTACAAACTACTTTAAGCAAATAATAAGTTGAAAAAAAAAATTAGAATTGCTTTAACAATTCCATTAAACAAAATTTACATGTGATAGCAACAATAACAAAATAAAATTATGAAAATATTTCAAAAAAAAACTAGAATGAATAAAGATCAATGGAATATGAGAGAGTGCTTGTGTGATAAAGAAAGAGAGAAAATCAGAAAAGAATACATTCCAATTCTAGATGCAAAGATTGAGAAACATGAAAAAAAGCATTAAAACAAGTGAGAGACAGAGAGTGAAAACGTCACAAACAAACAAAAAAAAAAAAAAAAAGAAACGTGGAAAAAAAAGAGGCAATTTCAAGTTTTTGCAATTTGTATTTGCAAAAGGTTGTAGTTCAAGCTGCGACTGAGAGCAAACTGTTGTTGCTATTTCAGGTTAGCCTGAAATCAACTATTCCATTTCAGGTTGTTTGTTATGTTTTTCACTTCAAGGCTTGTAAAATTTCTGAAGTATTTCTTATATTATCACTTTTTTTTTGCAATCTTTAAGCTTATTTTCGAGTCACAAAAATAGTATTTGATATCTTTAATAAGATTTTTGTGATTATTGTACATACTATTTGTTCCAATGTTTTTAGATTAATGTTACTGTTTTTGGTCCTCTTTTTTTTGAGCTGATTAAATTAGAATTTTTTTTTTTTGGTTTACCCTTGCTTACTACCCTTGTTTAGTTAATATTTTTTGGTTTTGCCATGTTTTAAGTATTTACTGTTTATTTTTTGGTTCTACCATATTGAAACTTTTTTTGCGAGAATATATGTGTGTATTATTAACTTATGTTGCATATGTTTATTGTTGCCGACGTAATTATTATTAAATTTCAACATTGTTTTTCTTACTTATAAGAATTAAGTTGATTATTATTTAATTATTTCTTATCCATATTCATCTAATGCTAAATTAATGTACCGATGAATAGGATTGAAGTAGAATGCTATTTGTTCAAATTAGTTTACCTATTACTCAATTGCCATTATTTTATATATTATCTAGCATTTATTAAAAATTTGAAATAATTTTTATCGGTTATATAACTTAGTACTACTAGTTATTTGACGTGTAGTTTTATTAGTTTGATTCGTTAAATAGTTGCTCAGTTTGTTGACCAATGTATTTTATCCTATTTTTTTTTCTTTTTTTTGTATGTAGAAGTAAACCTAAAATGTCGGTCGGTGGCATCGGTGTTTATGATCAGCAGCCACAAGTATCGCAAGACACGTTCGTAGTGGTTGGTGAACCGGATGTGATGAGAAATCAAGAAATTACTACGAATAGTGTGGCGAATGATGTTACATATGAAACCGGAAAAGATTGCCATCGGGTTAGAGTGTTTTTAATTAAGTAATTGAAATTTCCAATTTGAAACATTTGAAAATTAATGTATACAATTAGCAGTTGTAAGTGACACAATTAGCGGAGTGAAGATTTGGAGGTTATATTTAATCAGATATAATGTTGTAGAGTAATTTGCGATTCATAATGACAAATATTTGTATTTTTCTCGAAAAAAAATTTAAACTTTGCAAATGTTTAGTTTTATTTCTAACGTACATATTTGAAAAATCATGTTCTGCCTTCGAATTCGTTCGATGAAATTTTTGGAAGTTCAATGGTAGTATTTCATACTGGATGAACAGTTTCGAAAAACGATGATTTTATATTTCTTATTTTCATGTTTAATCGCTGGGAAATACACTAATCTTGTGAAGTTCCTTTTTTCTTTAAATCATGATAATGAATTTGTTAGATAAATTTTGAAAAATTCAAAAATTTATATAAAACTATCTGCCATAATGATTAGGATTATGATGAATCAGAAATAATTCTCATGTTTTTAAAATGAACAATCATTAAAAGCAGATCATATGATATTAGCATTCTTCTAAATGACTAAAAGAAACATTTAATCGAAAATGTTTTGAAAATATTTATTGTAAGTTAACATATTTGTTTTACAATAAATCCCTTTTCCTTAATTGATGCTTTTTTTTTCTCTCTCAATAAAATTTATCTCTGCTTAGCTTTCTTATGGTACATTCTGAGGATAATGGTTATTATTTCAGGAACCTGATAATGACAATGTTGCACCTGAAGCAACAACGGTATTAGAAATTGGCAAACGTCGACCAGTATATTTGACGAATGCTGGAGCAGAACAATATGGCCAAGAAAGTGGTTGTAGTGTCACAAAGATTCCTCGAAATGATAATTGTTTAGAAAGTCCTGAGCGTTTATTGCCACAGGGTGATAGCGTATATCATGATACAGGTATGTTGGAGTTTAAATGAACATAAAAATGATAAAAGGATAAGAAATTATAGCTGTTTTAATTTGAGAATTTAAATAAATCATTATTTTATAGGATCAGAATTGGTTGGTACTGATGATGATGGTGAACATCAGACGTTACATGATATTTCACGTTGTGCACCACGTGAAATTACTTATGAAACATCACAATGTGATGTGCAATCACAACACTGTAACATACAACAGCAACGTTGCAATATACACTCACAACATTGTGATGTGCAAGTGTCGCTTTCAAACAGACGAATAAGTTTTCAAAATAAATCATCAAATTTTATTTTTATATACTCATGTGAGTAAAAATTTTTAGAATTTCAAAACATTTTGAGAGATCTTACTGATAACAGCGTTTATTTGGTTGATTTAAGTTCTGAATGCATTTTTAGGCTAATCGTCAAGCGCATCCTAGGGAAAAGAATAATGTAAAAAATGAAATTGACTCTGACGAAAATACATCTCACTTATTGATCAGTTTAAGTAATGCATTAAATCCTGCTGAAGCGGAATATATTGATCGTTATCGTCCAAAAGGGCGTCCAAGAGGTAAAATTTTTGATTGGAATTATTTGAAAGTGTAATTAAATCTTATTTATTGTTCATAATTTTTTTTCTACGCTAGCAAATTAATTTGTATTTTTTTTACACTAGCAAATATTATTTTATATTTAAAATAGACGAAATTTTTATTTCATTAAGTTTGATTTTACTCGCAACTATATAATTTTATGTTGTGTTATCGTTATCAGTTGTTTAGTTTTATCTTCTCTTCACTATCACATTTAGGAATTTTACGGTATGTAATTTTGATAGTACCATTATTTGTAAGCTTGCATATAATATCTGTTTAACAAACGAAAGCAGTTATTTGCCTTTTTTTTTTTCTTTTTTTTTTTTGATCACTTGGTTTAGGTTGCAACTTTTTATGACTATCCATCAATTAACAGCAATCATTTTTTGGTTAATTTTGCAGGTCCCAAGCATCCTGTTTGGAATTTTTTCAAATTTTACAAATCTGGTGGACTTACTTTGGGTTATATGTGCTTGATGTGCGGCAATGGATTTACTGGCCCACCAAATACCACAAATGCTACAAAACATCTCCGTTGTAAACATAAACATGAATATTTACTGTATTTTGATTTACTAGAAGGTGCAAAGCAAGGGACATTCTTCGGTGATGTGCATCAGTCAATTAGAGAGGTTATTTTTCAAATTCTTTCTAATTCTTTTTTTTTTTTTTTTATGGTTTCTGTTTTTAAATAAATTCATTTTTTGGTTAATTTTATATTGAGAGGAAATAGTCTGAAGAAAGTAGTGTTTTATTTTCAGATATTATCATATATAAAAAAAAAAGAGCTAATAAACTTTAATTAGAGTGATTCATATTGATAGATAATAAGCAGTAGTTCATTTTTGCCGCACAAAATTTTATATTAGTTGATTAAGACCCTCCTAAGGAACTCTATTCGACATATTAGTAATGTAATTTTTCTCTTTATTAGCTGCTTATATAGTATTTTCTTCCATTTTGTTATAGCAATATCTGTGATGTTTAATTTATCATTGCTAATGAACTATTTCAGCTTGTTTCAAAAAGAGGTGTCAAAGCGGAAGCGTGCACTTCGGAAGGTAATACTGCTGAAGGTTCCATTCTGAACTATGAAGTCATGAATGATGGTTAGTGGGATCATTTATTTATTCTTGCTTAATTAATATATAACATAAATCATATTGTAAGAATAAAATGATGAATAGTTGTTAGTTATATTGTTATCAGTGCTATAAATAAATGATTGATGAATAAGTTAGAGTTTTAACATTTTCTTATATACATCAATAGCTGCTTGTATACTATTTTCTTCAGGAAATTTCTGTAAGCGATCTAAATCATGGCGTATTATTGTCTAATCATTATTATAGAAGTGTATTTTAACTTTTTCTATTATCAGGCACACATCGGAATCATGATTGGACGGATGA